AAGTGATTATGATCTGGGGGAATTTCACTTCTGATTTTTATAAGCCTCTGCCATTGTATGTAAATAGAAAGTTTTTTTATGTCTCAAAGATTTCCTTTATAATTGAATACTTGTGAAGTAATTTACAGATGACAGCATGCTCTGTAAATGTGAAGGAGGTATAATTACTATAGCATCTCTGGTTTAAAAGACAAGTCAACAAACTGTTCATCAAAAAGGCACACCATCGTCTATGAAAGGACCAATTCCTACTTCAGTGTGTGGACAGTAGTCTTCTTTGCAGGCGGGAGTTTATGAGATGATTTCATGCACACTAAAGTCTACCACACTCTGGGGGGTGAGGGAATCACATTTCATCATTCTGTTTTCCTCTGTCGATGATGAAAATAAGCAGCCATAACATGAGGCCATACTACTATTGTGATGCAAAATTCGGAATACATGTACTTCTGATTCGCCACACAGTGCTTCTTCTAGTTAAGTGGAATGTCACTCATGAAATTAGACTGAGACCCGATATGACATCTTCTATTATTCCTATTATTTTAACCAAGGGGATGGACTTATGAAAATAGCATTAAAATAGGTAATATGTAGTCAATGGGTAACATGCTCTGTCTTCACCAAAAATAAGAAAAAAAATAAAAAAAGGAAAAAAGAAAGAAAGAAAGGAGCCTCTTTCAAAAATTCAAAAGTCTGGATTAATCCATGCAGATGCTGGTACTGCTGGAGACTTGCTATCTATTCTATTGGTCAACTGGGAAAATCAGTATGGAAGGATGAGCCCGAAAGAGTGAAAGCTGGTAAGTGGAGAACAACTAGTTTCCCCTTTTGTAGACAGGCAACTGAGTAACTCAGGGCTTTCTTTATAAAGAGAACAAGAAAGTCTGTGTTAGAAATTTAAACTCATTTTCTAAAAACATACATAAGTTGAAAAGCTTTAAATTTCTGAATTTGTTTGCTCAATCTGCCCTAACAAATGCCACACCCTGGGTGGATAAACAGCAGAAATATATTTTCTCACATTCTGGAAGCTAGAAATCTGTCAGGGGCTTGGCAAATCCTTTTGTGTGATGCCACTGTCACAGGGTTATAATGGCCTTCTCCTGTGTCTTCACATGGTCTTCCTTCCATAAGTGCCTGTGTCCCAATCTCTTCTTATAAGGGTACCAGTCATATTGGATTAAGCTCCATCCTAAGACTCGCTTTAAATTAACTACCTTTTTTAAAGACCCTATCTCCAAGTAAGGTTGTAGCCTGAGGTCCTGAAGGTTAAGACATAGTCTATTTTTAAAAACTCAAAACCCAGAAACTTCTTATTGATTGCTTTCTGTTGTGCCACACGAAAGAATGTGGTAGCCCTTTTCCCAACCTTCACGTTGCCCAGTGACAGTGATGATACATTGTCTTTATTTTCTGTTTTGTTTTTAATTTTTATACTTTATTTTTATTATTATTATACTGGGGTATGTTGTGACATTTACAAAGTTTCTTACAACATATCATAATTGAATTCACCCCCTGCATCATTCTCCTTTACCTTCCTCCTCTCATTCCTGGAATATTTTTGACAGGTTTTCATGAGAGATTCTTCGTACTACATTTTGATTCCAGACCATGAACATATCATATTGGATTAGTAACAATTAGATTTACCTTATCTTTTTCATTTTAAAGGGACTAATATGGTCTAACTAGAGTTTAAGAAATAAAAATTTGTGTCAACAGTTTGTCTCAGCTTTTTTCTTTGAGAATATGATATTAACTGTCAATGGCTTGATGAGGGTGGAGATCAATATGGAATCTCAGTATAATTTGCCCATCAATATAAAAAAATATGAGCATGTTTTATTCTTACCTGCATATAGCCTTCTATGAGTGTAAACATCCGTATCTGCATGTTTTTCCAAGTTAGGGACCTGAGGACAATTTCAGAGTTCTCCCTCTTTTTACCATATACAGAGGAATCATTAACGAAACCTATCTATACCCATTATTCCACCAGGTTTAATAGGCTCAATTTTGGAAGTCAATATTCACCATTGACCCTTTCCTTGATATATAAATCTCAAAATTATCTTTTTCTTCCTGATCTAATGGCTGCATTTGACTGAATTAAGAGAAGTATTAATAACAAGGAAGGGACAGAAATAAAAGTATGCCGATTGTTAGTTGAAATACTATCTTCCTGTATGTGTTTAATTTTCTTTCACTTAAAATCATTTAAGTTGCAATTAAATCCAAGTTTCACAGCCCATGGCATGCTTTTGAAGAACCTGCATACCTAATATCTATCCACTTTTCTACCTGCCCTTTATTCTTCAACAAAACAAATTGGCTGGGGTTGTGGAGCAGGAGCTTGACTTATAGTATTTGCTAATTTCTGTAGTGTAAATACTCCGACCTTGGCCAACTTTAAGTTATATTCATGAAGTCAAGTGGTTTGCAAAATCCCGAAATTTAGCACTTAGCTCTTGGAAGCTGCACATCCTGTTTCCTGTCCCCACAGGTGCTATTTTGAATCTCTGCATATGGTATTTCCTTGAACTGGAATAGTACCCCATTTTTGCCTGAGAACTGCAAATCAGTTGGATGGGGTTCTTCTGTTTTTATCAGTACAGGAATCATGGGTCCATAAGAAGTTCTTCCAGTTATTCCAGGCTCTTGACAGTTTTTGTAATTCTCTGAAAGCCTCATTAACAGACAGCAGTGAGCAGCAGCGATTGGCACTCTGTAATGTTATAGTTTTAGTGGAGACCCTGGGTTCTGGGGCCTTTAGTGGGTTATAGGTTTTGAGCCTCAGATGTTGGGATCCTCAGCTCTTGACAGCTGTGGCTATACAGCTTTTGGGCTTTGGATGTCAGGAACCTCAGCCTTGACAATGGTGGTAAGTGTTAGAGCTGTCAGTCCTCAAATGACAGGATACTCAGTTCTTGACAGTGGTGGCATGTGTTACAACTCGCTGGAACTCTTCCAGCCACTAGGGCCTGCAGTTTCTCTTTCCTCTGGCACGTTATGCCCTTCTGAATTTCTTTGACTTTAACTCTCTGTTAGGGCATCACTTGGCTCTGCCATCTTCTGGTTCCACCAGAAGCTATGGCTGCCTTGGCTGCTAGTGCTGGCTTTGCTGTAGACATTGCCACTATCATGGTGTAGCTGCTGCCACTGCCAGGACTATGGCTGTTTTGGCTGCTGGTGCCAGGTCTGGTGTTGTTGCTACCTGGTCTGCTGTTACTGTTGCTACCAGTGCCATGCCTGACATTACTGTTCCCTCTGCCACCACCTTTTCTGCCACCTATTCTTTCTTTTGTGTTACCAACTCAGCCACTGTACTAATGATGAAAATAAAAATTAAAATTAGGGAAGAGAATGTCACTCAAGAGAAGCCTTTATTGGCTCTGACATTGCAACACCAGGGTGCATCACAGGGAGGGGTCTCCCAGCTATTTGCGTATGCCAAACAGCCTGCATATATAGCTAGAAAAGGGGTGACGAGTGTCTGTAACAACCATGGCAGTGCCTTCATGCAAATGAAAGACTGTGTTGGTACCAATCATGGCACAGTGTCTTATGTCACCAGTCATTGCAATCCCTTATGCAAATGAAGTACTATGTTTGCATTAGTCATAGCTCTTCTGCTGCGCCACTGGGGAATTGCTCTTCCTCTGACCTGGATAGAAATGGCTGCAGGGTTTTCTAGAGCTCACCAAGGCTTGTGGTAGTCAAAAATTCCTTGTAAGTTGTTTGCTGGAGTTGTGCTTTAGCAATGAGCTGTGGTTGTTGTGTCGTTTCCTCAAGGTGTCTATGGAGTATTCATAGCAGCCAGTGCTGGTATAAGGACAGTCCAGCTGACTGGCTGCTGGTCCTTTGCTCATGGCAGCCAGGGCCACAAGAAAGGGTCTAATAAATCAGTTCAGAAGTAAAACAGTCACAACTCAGCACATTTCAAAGAAAAATAAACATTAAAAATGTGCTTACAATAAAGGATTATCCTTAACATTAAGAGTGTTTTAACAGCATTTATGAGTACTGTAATAATGTTTACCTCCAGCCTGTGCCCCATGACAGGTAGGTCTCTCATTTTTGTCTCCTGAGATGCTGCCATTGTAATTTAAAATTGCCCCTCTGATGTCTTTCTCTTTGAGCAGCCCCTGCTTCCCAGGTTGTTCATCTCTGCCTCACTTGGTTTTCTCCCCATCTTTATAAATGACATTATGTTTATATCATCATCATCATCTTATCCTTTTATTTATCTCCTTCCCAAATTAAACTCTTGAATTGACTCAGATTTTGCAGATGAGGAAATTGATGCTCAGAGCCTAACAGTGGGGGAAAAACATAATCAATATCCCATTTCTAAGATAGTCCAGTATTTCTAAGAATGGATAGATTACTTTAAAGCTTTCATTTATGTTTGTTTGATGTTGGACAAAATATATAGTCTCCATGAGCCTAAGTATTCTTATTGACAAAGTAGAGATAATAAAATGTAAATGTGTAAGATTGTTGTGTCTGTGAAGTATGGTACAGTTGGGGACCAGTAAATAAGTGGTAATAGCAGGCTACATCATAGTGATACACTCTAGAAGGACTGCTATTGTTCCTAGGAATACTTTGGACAAGGGAGAAGGTGAGTACATCTTCCATATGAGTCTTGCTTGAGTGAACTAACTTCATTGTTTCAGGTAAAATAGAATACAAATTTTTTTTGAGATATGGTCTCCTTGTGTTGTCTCAGGTTGGCCTCCACCTCCTGGTCTAAAGAGATCTTTTGGCTTCAGACTGCCAAGTAGCTGGACTCACAAGTGTGTTCCAGTGTACCCAGCAAGTGCACATTCCTAAAATGCTATATTCTTTCATGATGTCCTTGCTTTTTAAAAAAGTAACTTCCTATTTAAAACTTAAACTAGATTTAATTTTTTTCTTCTCATAGTAGGAATTTCATAAGGTTGGTCTTATCCATTTAACCTGTAGCCTCCTATTTTCTATTTTTTCTTCAGCCTTTGTATGCATGACTCCTTCCCATTGACTGTTCAGCCCTGTGTCATGCCAAAAGACTGTGAAACCTCTGAGTGGTCCTCTTGGAGTTCCTGCTCCAAGACGTGTCGCTCAGGGAGTTTCTCACCTGGAGTTCGGAGCAGGAGCCGGAATGTGCAGCACATTGCTGTTGGGGGTGGACGAGAGTGCTCAGAGCTTCTTGAGAAAGAGGCCTGCATGGTTGAAGGAGATCTGCAGCCATGCCCCAGGTATTCTGCATTTTTTTTGTTGTGAATATTTTTAACCTATAGCCTCCTTTGAATTAATGATAGAAATGTTAACAATAGTAAAAGTAGCCATGACTCATGTTTATCAAGTCTTTACTCAGTCTAGCAGTTCCATATTTGTCAGTATATGGTGGTGGGCTAAAAGCATGGGCTTTAGTGCTGTTTCCATGAGTTCAAGTCCTATTTCTGTGGCTTTCTAGTGATATGAGTTTCATAAGTTGTTTACTTCTAGAATTAGTTTACTCATCTACCAGCAGTACTTACTTCATCTAGTGCTTGATACATAAAAAAAAAAAGATGCTCAGAATTGTTAGTTGTCATTATCTGGTATGACACATCTATTTCTTACAATAACCCCTGGACCCATTCATAGTGTCCTCATTTTGCAAATGAGGCAGTTAAAGGTCAGAGAGATTAAATAATTGCTGAGGTTGCATAGCTAACAAGTAGCAGCACCCTGGTTCTAATCCACTTTCTTCCCAAATCTTATTGCCACTGTGTGATATGGTTTTTATTCCAGAGTAAAAAGTCTCTTCAGAGCCAGAGAATATTGGAAAATAGATTGCCAGCTGTGTTTAACATCTTGATATTAGTTATATTTTGCCTGGTGAATTTCACCTGATAAAGACCTCCAGTGTATTTTCTTTAGGTTGTTGGCTTCTGGTGGGTCCAATCTCATAATGACAGAAGTCATTCCAGGCTGGTTGTTCAGAAGCCTGTTAGGAATGGATTTGTGGTAATTTCTCCTAGACAGCTGCTCTGCACTGTTACCTGTTAAATCCATATCTTTTTATAATAGATGTTTTCTATAGTTTCTTGTAGCCTTTAATATTTGAGAATCATTCTTCCACAATAAAATAAAATAAGGCAAAAATAGTCTCTTGTATGAATTCATCATCTGTATGATTGAAAGGCAGGTGGGTTATAAACCCAACAGGTGTTCTTGATAAACTGAACCTATCTATTCCTTAACCCTGAAATAATATGTGCTTTGAGGCATGGATTAAAAAGGTAAGTTTCTGTTGTCAGAGTCTTAGTCTCTCCATCCTTCATATCACAATTCAAATCAGTGCTGATTGAACACAAACTACATGCTGATTGATTTTTTTTTTTTTAGTAAACTCGCTAGATTCTTATTTTTTACTTCAAAAGCAGAGTAGGTGGGTGCAGTTCACACAATATCACAGAATTGTGGTCATTGTGCTCATTATATATATCCATCTTTCAAAATACTTTGTAGCAAAACAGAGACTTGGATATGGCACAACTCTGGTGTCTCTGTCTCTGTGAAAGTTGCATATACCTGGGTTAAAATTATGTGTGCATCCCTTACTAGCTGTGTGCCCTTGAACAAGACGCACAACTTTTCTGAGATAGTTCCATTGTCAGTAGAATGTATTTAATGATATTGTCTCTGTTGTAGGTTTGAAAAGCTGGAGAACAGATATGTAAAATGTATAGGCTCTACAGAAAGGGTGACCATTGTTGTTGTTACTACAGGTATACTTGATTCCTCCATAAGAAGAATCCCTCCTTTTCTTGGACTGAATACTATAGTAATTTTATGAAGTAGGCACTTAGTTCCTGGATAATTTTGAAATATTTCCCTATGGAAGTATAATTCAGAAGATTTTCAATGATAGGCAGGCAGGAACAGCAACTTGGTTTATAATTATAAACTACTGTGAGCCAATAATTACAACCTAGTTATAAATTAACTAACTAAATGTAAATACATAATTTATCACCCAAATGGGACATTTATGATAGTGAAAGGGGTCTAAATTGGCATTGCTCAGATTTGCCTCAAGCACTTGGCTTTTTAAAAGTGAGTGTTCCTCCCATTACATTGCTAACTATAAAGATGGACTTAGTAAACACCTAACACCAAAATAATGATATATATACAAATTCACATGAAATCATATACATCAATTTTTCCAATGCGATAGTTTGGAATTATTTAGGATGTACACAATCTGAGTTTATATACTGATTTTCATTTGATTGATCCTTAGTGTCTGAAAATAGAGGTTAAAATTTTCATTGATGGTATACCTGGTCCTCGTGTTCTGTTATTTGAACCTGTTGCTGAGTCTGGAATTTATTTAAAAGCAAGCAACAAATAAAGAAAAAACCTTTTCAAATGATGAATCTGTAGGAAGTATAAATCTTGGAGAATTCACTGAAATACCAACCAGTGTTTCCTAGGGAGAGTGATATGTTAACTAATGATTCAGAAGAAGAATGTATAAATAACAGCAGCAAAATTAACATTTTTATTTATCTGAAATCTGGGCTGTGGCCTCTACCACAGGAAAGATATACTACACAGCAGAAAGGCTGTGTGTTCACTTTGTTTCTAGTTTGACATTGGTGATTAAAATTCATTGTGAATGAAGGAAATGGAAACAAGTCTATTAGGGAACAAAATACTCATTTCTCCTTTTCCAGAATTCATGAGCAATTCATATGCATCAAACAATTTAATTCACCTCATTTCTCCCCAGCAGGAAAATGTACACTTCTGTGACTCTTCATATTATTTTTATTAACTCTCTTAGAATATGGTTTGGCTTTTGCCCTTCCTTCATCTTTGTTACAGGAGATGTGTCCATTCATTCTGTAAATACACAGTGAGCTCTTGCTCTAAGACAAGCACAATGTTAAGTGTTTGGGAGACCTCAGAGACACAGTAGACACATATCCCTCTCCTAGTGGAACTTGAACTTCAGTGAAGATAAACCAAATGAATAAAATACACTATATACCTGGTGTAATTATGAATTATGGAAAAATTTAAACACTAATGCAAGGTACTGGTAGAGCCTTCTGGAATGCACTGATGGAGATCCACATGGGTTATAAAATTAAGCAGGTTTATTAGAGAAACTTTTGAACAGGCAGGAATTTTTGGGGTGTGATGTTATTTAAAATAAGTGAATATATTAGCCACTTGGGTAATTAGGGAAAATATTCCACAGGAATTTTTGGGGTGTGATGTTATTTAAAATAAGTGAATATATTAGCCACTTGGGTAATTAGGGAAAATATTCCACAAAAGAGCTATAACAGAAGTGCTTCAGTTTCTGTATATTACTACTGTTCAGTTGCATAGGTGTGGGGGCTGTTCTTCTCACCAGTTGGGCTCTACTGACCAGCATTTTAACTCTGATCACTATGAGTGTTAGTTCCTAAGACATGACTCCATGAAAGGAATTGTAAAGGAGAGGAATTCGTTATAGAGGTACCGCCTAGAACCAAAACACTTCAGAAGTTGTCTTGGAACAACCAACTTAATGTGAAAGGAGATGGGCACCAGTCTGTGTTATGCTTACTTGGGAAATTTTAAAGTTACATGAGAATTAGCATTGCACAGTCTTTGTTTTAGAAATGTGGTTTTGATCAAGACTCACACAGACCCTAAAGAAACCTCTTTCTTCACATTACGTGTGATACTCTCCTCCCCATCTCCAACTTAATACTAAACGCTGTGTTATGGGATGTGGAAAGCACACAAGAAAGACAGAATAAATCTGTTTGTCACTTACCATCTTCACTCCTGGTGTATTGGGCATTGTTTTCTGTCCCCAAACTCTGAGATATATTCATCATAAAACATGGTTCTTTTCGGTGTCTCAATTAATATCCAAAGTATTAGATCCTATATCTCAACTAAGGGGAAGGTGAAATGAATTCCAGAACCATGAAGAGTGAGACAATCTTGTTTACTAGATAGTATAAAGAAAGAAAAAAGACATGCTGCTTGTCAAAGGTCTAAGACATAACCTGATTCTGGAACAGATATTATTAAGATCTCTTGTACTTAAGTAGAGACTCCCATTCTGGCTAATGATCCTATAACTAACACACAAGAATATTAACAAAATGTCAACTGCAAACATCTTTTTTAGAAGTCACACTTCAGATGACCTGCCAGCAGCTTCCACCACACCACTGGGAGGCAGAAGTTTTCATGTGAAAATAGCTGTGATCCAATGTTCATTTAAAATTTGAAGTTGAATAGCAAGCAGCACTTTAAATGGTGACAGTGACTAATGAAAAGTAATCTCAAGGCAGAAACTTCATAGCTATGGTACTACCAACTGTGTGATATTACAACATGGAAAAACCAATTTGTTAAATATCTTTCAGTACTGTAGCCTGACACCGGCTAGATGGACTCTTTTAATCCATCATTCTTGTTTCTGGTATGTGTGAATTTATCCATATTATGGGTAGGCTAGAAATTCTGAACAAAATGTATACTCTGTGTAAACTAATGCTGAGAGATCTGTCTGGGTGCCCTGCATCCAACTTTGATTTGCCTGTTAAACAACCCCTTAAGACCAGCTTGGATTTCCCTAACATCTTTTTCAGGCACTGAACTCAATTTGAGACTTTCTAGACAGAATTATTCTTCTTTGACAAAACTCTGAAGATGAGTTTGTGGATTTTTCAGGTGCCTGTTGAAGCCAGATAGTGGAAGGAAAGGATGGAGGGTGAGAACTTGGTGTTTTTTTTTTTTTATTCCTTTGCTCATTAAAACAGAGAGACATACTTTTGAGGCAATGTTTGTTCAGCAGCTGCTTCAGCCTATCACTGGGTTAATCGCTGGATAATTCAGAAAACTGAAAACTTTCAGTCTATATTCACTTGATTTGTTAATTATCAGTATCTTATATATATATTACCACAACACACAAAACACTATACCAATGTCCTCTACGAATGTTTAATAATTGGTACTGTTCTCACATATCACCTTACCTGTATGGGTGTAATTATTTGTGTGTTTTTTTCCTCTACTTTAGAGAGAGTAGCACTGAGTAAAGTGTCTGATTCATTGAAAATGCTCAGTAAACACTGGGTGAATGAATGAATGAATGAATGCTCAGGTATAGGGCAGTTCCAAAACAATATTATGCACAGAATACTTTATTTCATGCTATGGTCATTACATTCATATGAAGGACTTAAAA